TTGATTTTCTGGGTCACAATTGTGAACAGGATTGTTTTTTTCATGTTGCTTTCTTCTCTCTCACTGTTTGCATATAGGAGCCATGGACTTTTGGGTATTGATTTTATAACCTGCAACTTTACTATACGAGTCTATTGTTTCTAGGAGTTTTTTGGTGGAGGTTATTGGGTTCTCTAAGTAGAGTATCATATCATCTGCGAATAGTGAGAGCATGATTTCTTCCTTTCCTACCTGAATGCCCTTAATATCTTTTTCTTGCCTAATCGCTATTGCAAGTACTTCCAGTACTATATTGAACAGAAGTGGAGAGAGTGGGCATCCCTGTCTCGTCCCTGATCTTAGAGGGAAGGCTCTCAGTTTTTCCCCATTGAGGATGATGCTTGCTGTAGGCTTGTGGTAGATGGCTTTAATTATGTTGAGGAAGGTCCCCTCTATACCCATTTTGGCTAGGGTTTTCATCATAAAGGGGTGCTGGATCTTGTCAAATGCTTTCTCTGCATCTATTGATATAATCTTATGCTTTTTATCTTTTCTTTTGTTGATATGATGGATTATGTTGATTGATTTTTGAATGTTAAACCATCCTTGCGTCCCTGGGATGAATCCTACTTGGTCATGGTGTATGATCTTTTTGATGAGTAGTTGGATTCTATTTGCTAGTAGTTTGTTAAGGATCTTTGCATCTGTGTTCATCAGGGATATCGGCCTGTAATTCTCTTTCTTTGTGGTATCTCTGTCTGCTTTTGGTATCTGTGTGATATTTGCTTCGTAGAAACTCTTCGGAAGTGTTTTTGATATTTCAATCTGTGTTTTATTGGTGGTGTGTTCAATTGTGTCTTTTAGCTTCCTATGAACCCTCAGTAACTCCCTTTTAAATTCCTGTCAGAGAGATTGTCTAGCAGTTCATTACTTTTGGATCATCTGGGCTAGTCTCTTCACTAAGTAAGCTTGGTGGGCTTCTGCATTGCTTTACCATTGTGACCCATGTCGTTTAGACCTTCACGCTCACCGTTACTATTGTGTTTTTGGAGTAATATTGAGATGTGGGTAACGAGTTATTGGTTTAATGTGTTTCTGTTGATTAAGATGCCCTAGTGAATGTTCCACCTAAGAGGCTAACTTATGGGGATCTTATGGGGTATTGTGGGGGAGAATAATACTGGGTGCACCCCGGCAACACCTGGATTGGAAGGGCGGAGGACAAAGGGAAGTTCCTGCAGGCCTTCTGCATTCTCATTCCCCATCCTTCCCAGCTTTATGTTAGGAACCGGCCCCGTTTGGACCTTCTCAGTTCCTCGGCCCTGGGAAGACTCCCCCCTCCCCCGTGCCCAGCAATACCTGGATCAAATCCACGGAGGACAGAGGGCCATATCAGCCAGCCTACTCTCTTCCTGTTTCCTGTCTCTCACAGCTCTATGTTAGGAATGGGTCCTCCACCAGTCATCTCAGTCTCTTGGCCCTGGAAACTCCCCCTGTGCCCAGCAATACCTGGATTGGATGGGCGGAAGACAAAGGGCAGTTTCTGCAGGCCTTCTGAATTCTCGTTCCCCATCCTTCCCAGGTCTATATTAGGAACTGGCCCTGTTTGGGCCTTCTCAGTTCCTCGGCCCTGAAAAGACATCCCCTCACCCTCCCCACCCCCCCCACCCCCGTGCCCAGCGATACCTGGATCAAATCCATGGAGGAGAGAGGGCCCTACCGGCCGGCCTTCTGTTCCATTAGTCTGCAGCTCTGCCTTTGTTCCAGTACCATGCTGTTTTAATTAATATTGCTTTTCTTGGGAAAAAGAAAATAGGAGGAATCAACCTCCCCAACCTCAAAGTCTACTTCAAAGCAGTATTTTGTACTATTCTTGATGCTGCTAGTCTATTTGTCTTTTTCTATGTTATGTTTCAAATTGCGGGGCAGGAGAGAATACAATAGGTAGAGTGCTTGACTTGCATGCAGCCAATCTAAATCAAATTCCTGAAATGACATATTATCTGGCTCCAACAGGAATAACCCCTGAGCCAAAAAGAGTAAACCCTGAGCACTCCCAGTATGGCAAAAAAACTGAAAATGAATAAACAATTTCAAAGAAAATAAACACAAAAAAAAGTTCTAAAAAAACCTTTAAACTGATGAATGCACAAAATAGATGTTTTCATTAAATTATTTAAATTTATTTTTTAACTGTGGCCGAAGTTGGACACATTGTAGGGTATTTGCCTTGCATTCCTCTGAGCTTGATTTGATCCTAACCACTCCATACAGTGTTTGAAGCCTGGATCATGATGAGCACTGAGAATAGCACTGTAGCACTGTCCTCCTATTGTTCATCGATTTTTCTCACGCGTGCACCAGTAATATCTCCATTATGATACTTGTTGTTACTGGGTTTTTTTTTTTTTTTGCATATTGAATATGCTACGAGAGCTTGTCAGGCTCTGGTGTGCAGACGGGATACTCTAGGTAGCTTTCCAGTGTTTGTGAGAGGGATGGAGGAATGGAACCCAGGTTAGCCACATGCAAGGTAAACACCACCAGGGATGGTCCAACACCTTCCCCAAATTACTGGGGCTAGAAAGGTATTTCAGAGCATTCTGTGCTTGCCTTTCATGCAGCCAACTCTCATTTGATTCCCAGGACAGCATTTGCTCCCTAGGTTCCACCATGGTGATCCATAAACGGAGCCAGGAGAGAGTACCTAAACACAGTCATTAGCATATAGCTTGCTGCCCCATCCCCATACACACCCTGGGTTCACAATTTTTTCACAAATGGTAATAGCACTGCATTAATTCTGTAGGAGTTTCAGATGTGTCATTATAACTCAACCTCAGTTTATACTACAGACGTTCACCATGGAGTGCATTTCTAGCTTTCTCTAAATAATTGACATACTAGTTATATTTATTCTATACATACCCAATGTAACCCCCTTCTTTGCCTTCCACTTTCTTTTGGGGGCAGAAACATTGATGCTACCAAGAGTTGCTCAGTGTCTCCAAAGCATTTCTGGACTTACTCTGCCAAGATTGGTAGCAGTTCACTTGAGCTGAAATTCACCTGAGCTTCCCTGGCAGTGTGCCTGGGCCACAGAGTAAAATTCTGCAGTTATCCAGGTACCTGGGTCCAAATCTAAATGTGCTTAGTAGTCACACTGTGATGAAGATTGGACCAGATCAGGCAATGCCTTGAAACTCCTGAAATATCCCCACAGTCCCATTTCCCATTCTCTCATCCATAAACGCTGGAAGATTTTATATTTTCTGAGTTCTTTTTGTTTATATTAACTATAAGTTATAGTCAATTAATAAGCTTATAGTCAATAAATCCTTTTGTACCTAATTTAGTTAATTCATTCCATTTATGAATCACATCTGAATGAAATCATGTATTATTTGTCTTTCTCCATCTGATTTGTCTCATAAGTCACAATCATCCATGTGCTCAAAAATGGCATGATCTCATTTTGTTACCTATAACTCTCAGTATTTCGTTGTACACAAGCAGTATCTTCGTTATCCAATTGCATGTCAATAGAAACTGCTGTTTTCCCCAGTCCACCATTGTACATAATGCTGCTTTGAACATGGCGATGTTTATATTCTTTGACTTATTGTTTTGTACCCTTTTAGTAAGTACCCAAGTGAGAATACTACATGAGATTTTTCATTTTAATGAATTTAAATATGACTTTTTATGACCACTACACCAATCCCATTGTATGAAAGTTCAAGTGTTACATATGATACCTAACTCCTGTATATCGACATGGTCTATTTCCCATTCTTCCAATTATCAGCATTATTTTAGAATTGTAATTTAGTCATATATAAACAAAGGTGTGAGATTATTGCATGATTTTGGAATTGTAATCTAGTTATAAATAAACAAAAGTGAGCTATTTATATTTTATTCTTAACATAGACATTTAATTTAGCCTGAGTTTTAAGTGTTTGTTATTGATATCATTTTGAAAACATGAATATTCCTACAGTTTCTTTGAAATAGAGTTTCAGAAATCCCTGGAACTTAAAGACAGAGGTGGAATAATATTAGAAGAATGACAGATGAAAGCAGGCAGAAAAGATTCTACATCAAATTTTAAAAAATAGACGTTTTAAAAATAGGATACATGCATTATTTTTTACAAACTTTTAATGTACTACATTTAAAATGTAATTCACTGGTCCCTCAGATTAAAATTTCATGATGCACATAATGTGTAACATAACTTGCGAACTTATGAATAAAATTTAAACTTTAACAATGAGTTGAGAAGAATGGATTACAGATGAAATTTTATAATAAATGTAGATATTTTAAATTTCTAGATAATAATGCACTAGAAACATTATTTTACACACAAGTGGGATATATTATCTTTCCATTTTGACAGGTTTTTCTAAATGATTCATATGACTTTCTACGATATCCCCTTTTACAATCAAATTCAACAGTGTCCCCTGACTCGGAATACAGTTTCCTTTCTTCTGCCCATCGGAATATTAGATTATGTTCATTCAAAAGGTCTTCTGATATTACACAGGGAGCTGAAAAGGAAAAGAATATACACTTTAAATAGTATACAAATACTACTCACAAAATGTCAGACTTTCAAGCAGAGTCTCCTACACTCAGCCAAGAATTTAATACCCAAACATTTTACAAAACAGAATATGGAAACCCCATCATGTGAATTTAAATCATTTTTAAAAATTACTGTTTAAAGTATGAAAATGTTTGAAGTGCGAAAATTAACTATTACAATGAAAGATTGCTAATGTCATTTATCACATTAAGATCCTATATTAAAGGAAGTTTTATTGTTGTGCTTCAAACAAGAAATTTTCAAACTTTATTGTCTGTTATATTCATATTTTGTAGTCAAGTTCAGTAAGGTTTGTGAATCCATGAACATTTTTTTTCTAAACTTCAGTCATTTTCCTTGACTCCTTTGGCATATTAAAATATGACAAATATAAAATACTTACTTAGGCATCTAGGTGGTTCTGACCACTGCCCATTGCGGCATACTATAGTCCTGACTCCCTCGAGTACATAATGGACTTGGCATTGGTAGTCAACTTTTGATTCCGGAGCATATTCACCAACTTGGTATGAAGTAGTATCTCCATTTCATTTCATTTCATCATCCTGTTATTCGTCGATTGCCTCGAGCAGGCCCCAGTAACGTCTCTTTCATCCTAGCCCTGAGATTATATTGAAGGCTCTTTAGGAGAATGAGACCCATCATTGTTACTGGTATTTGGCATATTTGGTATGCCACGGGGAGTTTGCCAGACTCTCCCCTGTGGGCAGGCTACATTCGATAGCCTGCAAGTTTGTCCAAAGTAGGAATGAGATAATAAGATATCATAAAAAGATGTCCTGATAAGATGTCCGGGAGCTGGATTTTATAGTCTCTGAGTCTTGGCTGCTGATGGGATTACACGGCGCCAGGGGGCCAGGTGGTGGGTGTGACCCCCGCCTACTGGAATTTGGAGGATCTGGGTGGAAGATTCTCGACTCCAATCCGAGTAGGATTGGAGATCTTGGTCCCAGAACCCACGTGGCTTTGTCCCTCTGCCAGTACCTTCATGTGTGCGGAGAGTGGTCTCAGCATGGTGGTGGCTGGTCCTGGAGGTCTTCGGCTGCCGGAGCCCTGGTCGGGGCGGGGAGGAAAGCTCAACCCGCTCCCCTCCAAGGGGCCCTGGCGAGGAACAGCCAGGCGCGGGGGGGGGGAGGGGGGGCCACATTTTCTTACAGAGTCTGAAAAAACATATTTGGTTTATTAAAGCTTTATTGATTTCACGGTAATATTCATTATATTTACTAGGATAGAGAGAGCAAATGTTTAGGATAAAAATTAAATGGGTGAAACTATAATGTACATAATATGAAGAGTCATAATTTTACATGATGGAAGAGATTCAATGAAGAATTTTCGATTTTATAAATGGTCATGCTTATAAGAATTTCCTTTCAGCCTGCATAAGAACAGATAGAGCATTAGTAAATATATTTGCTTTAGTCTCTCTAAAATTAAAAATATATTTTCACGGGACTGGAGTCATAGTATAGAGGGCAAGGTGTTTGTTTAGGACACAGCTGACCCAGGTTCCATCCCCAGCATGCTATATGATCCCCCCAAGTCTGCTATGTATGGCCTAAAAACAAAGGAAAAAAATGGTTTTCATAATCAAATTGTGCTGGACAAAAGACATCTGTTACAGTGGAAGTGGAGGAAAGATGAAGGACAACACATAATCTAGTAATTTAATTGGTCTTTTAAGTTTTACTCACTGAAGAGGGAGCCAGTGAAATAGATAATGGAAATGGTCGAGGGAGTGGAAAACAATGCAACATCAGAGGGGGTATGGCTGGTACCAGCTTCTTTGACCCCTCATCTGTGCCTGGGTGGATGGCAGGAAATCAGAACATGGCCAAGAACAAAGAAAACTCATGGGTCAAAAAGCTGAGGAGATGCAAGACCCCAGTAAACAAAAACAGAGCTGCTGGCACCGGCAAGACACAGGTGCCAGGCTCCAGTCACCCCTCAAATCCAGAAGCCAGGCATAGATCAAGTATGGTGCAGGACCGGACCTGATCTTTGGACACTGGGAGACATGGGATGAACAGGTTGAGTCATGCCACAGGTAGGTAAAAGAGTGAGACCAACACATGGGGGAAGGACCTAAACCATCCTACTTAAACTGTCACATAAACTGGGATCATCAATATCTAAGCTTTTGAAGGCACATATTTCATACTCTACTCAAGGATTGACATATTTAAGAGATAATCCAGTTTCACAGAATAAGATGAAGTATATTGATTTCATAAAAAATACACTGCAGTTTGCATGGGATCTCTAAGATTTAACTGCTATTGATTTTTTCCAATTTATTTTTATTCGAGACACACTGATTTACAAAGTGATCCAGAGTATACTATCAGAAATACAGTGTTCTAACATCAGTGCCACCGCCAGGGACACCTTCCTTCTCCAGTTTTCCCACACTCCCTCCCATCCACCAGCTTCTAGACAGAAACATTTTAAAATTTGGTTATTGCAGCCCGGATTCCCTGCTGACAATGTGGCTGGCTCTGTGTTTTAGATATGTGCCTTTAACATACTTCTGTACCACAGATGTGCCTGAGGCCCCTGCCTTGACCAAGTAGCCAGAAAGAAGTGTTTCAGGAAACCAGAGGTAAGATAATAAAAAGAAAAGAGAAACAAAAGAAATAACAAGAAACTAACTTGATAATGAGGAACCCAGCCTCTAATAGCCATAATTACTGATAAAAAAGTATAATGTGATAGAAATAGGCTAACACTGGGAAGGAGGACACAAAGACAAGATCTATTTATGTTCTATCTGCAAGAAATTCTTCATACATAAAAACATAAGTGTTGGGACTGGAGCAATAGCACAGTGGGTAGGGCGTCTGCCTTGCACGCAGCCGACCTAGGTTCGATTCCCAGCATCCCATATGGTTCCCCGAGCACCGCCAGGAGCAATTCCTGAGTGCATGAACCAGGAGTAACTCCTGTGCATTGCCGGGTGTGACCCAAAAAAGCAAAAAGAATAAAATTAAAAAAAAAAACATAAGTGGACTCAAAGAAAAGACTTGGGAACATATATGTACTAGGAAAAGTTATCCTGAAAAGCTAGAAGTAGCCCATGTCCTAATTTCTTTGTTGGCTCTCCTGATTTCCTGGACTCTCAATTCAGAAAAGCCCCAATATCTAGACCTCAGACTTTTTATATGTATCTAATCATTTCCTTCATGAGCTCAGCAAGACATCATGTCTTTAAATGTAATCCATGTGCTGAAGAAGTCCAACTTAATTATACTTTCTAGAATAACTCTCTGCCTAGTTTATGCCTCCAGGTGAAGTGTTTAGACTCCAAGTATACCTAAACCCTTTTCACCTTACTTATTTGTTTATTTTTGTTGGGGAGCCACACCCATTGTGCTCAGGACTTACTGCTGGCTCAGTGCTCAGGGATCACCTGAGCAGGCAAGCTCTGGTGACCATATAGGGCTCCAGGGTCCAAATCGGAGTCAGCCATGTGCAAGACAAGTACCCTACCACTATCTATCTCCCTTAAACCCAAACTTAAGCATTTTTAATACCTTTTTGTTTTGTAAGACAGGAAATACGAGCCTGAGAGCTTAAGTCCGGGACTAATTTTCCATTACTCAGATCAAGTATTTCATAAAAATCAACTATATTAAGTACACAAAACATTTATTTTCAGCATAGTCATTTAGTGAAAATATGTCATAGGATTTCCCATATATGCATGTATGCATATTTCTTAATATATTGCCTAAGTATATTTTATTCGGGACAAAATATGTTGGGATAACAGCTAAGGGCAATTCAGATATGCTACCTTTACACTGAGGAGGTTTTGTCCAGGCACCATTTAAACACTGCACTTCTCCTGATTCTCCATAGAGTTTAAAAGGTTTTTCACATTCATAATATACTCGTGCACCAGATGGGTAGCTCCCCATATCATTTCGTGTGACAGCATGTTCAACCATGGGCGGACAACCACAAGAAACATCTATAGGGAAAGCAAAAAGAGCTGTCAGTACAATAACTAAGTAGAAAATCAACAAATGGAATTTGAACAATAGTTTAGGGAGATTTAACATCCATACTTCAGGGGGCTTGAGTAACATAGCCAATCAAATAAATTCTGTGGTTCAAATCTCTTTCTTTTTCTTATTATATTGCATTTGGTGTCACACCCAGGGACTACTCCTAGTTTGGTGTCCAAGTCGCAGTCCTGGCGACAGATGTGTGCCTCCTGCATGCAAGCTTCTGTGTGTTCAAGCCTAAGAGCTGTCTCCCTGGCCACAGTCCCTATTTTAAACTTTTCTTCTATCCTTCACAGAGTTAATAGACACTTTAAGAGGGGCTGGAGCAATAGCACAGTGGGTGGGGCATTTGACTTGCACGCGGCCAACCTGGGTTCAATTACCAGCATCCCATATGGTCCCCTGAGCACTGCCAGGTGTGATTCCTGAGTGCAGAGCCAGAATTAACTTCTGTGCATCGCCGGGTGTGACCCAAAATTTAAAAAAAGTGAAAAATAAGAATTTCTACTTTTCCCTCTCTGGTCTAAACAAATTTATGTTATTAACCATATAAATTTTAAATGAATAGATTGTAGGAAATATTACAATGAATTCATTGACTTCAGAATTTGGTTCTCAATCAGTCTCTTAATGAGCAGCAATTTTTTTTGTTTCTAATCTTTTTTTTCTTTTTTTTAATTAGTGAAACACCATGAGGTACAGTTGTAGATTTACAATTTTTTGTGCTTGGGTTTCGTTTATACAATGATCCAATACCCTTCCCTCCACCAGTGCCCATTTTACACCTCCATGGATCCCAGTATCCCTCCCACACCCATCCCCCCATCCCACCCTGCCTCTGTGACAGGGCATTTCCTTTTGTTCTCTCTTTCCTTTTGGGTGTTGTGGTCTGCAAAGAGGCATTGAGTGGCAATCATGTTCAGTCCATAGTCTACTTTTAACATGCATCTCCCCTCCTGAGAAGATCCTCCAAACACCCTTTATTTGGTGCTCCCTTCTCTATCTGAGCTGCCCTTTCTCCTGGAATGACTGGCTTGCCTCTAAGCTGTGGAGTAATCCTCCTGGTACTGATCTCGGCTATTCTTTGGTATTAATCTCCTGTTTTGTTACTTCATATCCCCCTGATGAATGCAATCTTTCTATGTCTACCCCTCTCTTTCTGACAATGAGCAGCAATTTTAAGTACATTCCTTAGGGACTACAGCAATGAACACACTTTAAAAGATGAACTTGAAGAAAAAGAATGATTAGAGGATCCAAACAGTGTACTTGTGTAAATAACAGAATGGATGCACTTAATCACTTAATCACTTAACTTCCCGTTAGTCGTCGATTTGCTCGAGCGGGCGCCAGTAACGTCTCCATTTGTCCCTGTCGCGTGCTAGTGTAGCCCAATGGCATCTCTTCGCTCCGGGAACATGGAGGGCCTCAAACCGATCGTTCATGATCTTGACAAAGAAGTCTGACCATCTGGTAGGTGGGCGGCCACGCGGTCTCTTGACATCCCGTGGAATCCAATCAGTAACAGCTCTAGTCCAACGGTCGTCTTTAAATCTCATTACGTGACCAGCCCATCTGATTTTCGACACCTTGGCAAATGAGACAGCGTCCCTGATCCTTGATCGTCAACGGATGTCAGAACTCCGGATTCGTTCTCTCATTTGAGTGAAACGTGATATTCCAAGCATAGCTCTTTCTATTCTTCTTTGGGAGACTTGAATGGCGTTCTCATCTTGTTTGCGTAGGGCCCAGGTCTCTGAGGCATATGTTAATGCAGGAAGAACAGTGGAATCAAAGAGATGTGCCCGGAGCCGGAGGTTCTTCGTCCTCTTAGCTATTTCTTCGACATTCTTGAAGGCGTTCCAAGCCGCTCTCTTCCTCCTGCACAGCTCGGGTGCCAGGTCATTTGTCATGTTGACCTCTCGACCTAGGTACACATAGCTGTTGCATTCGGAGATGGTCGTTCCATTGAGAGCGAATGGGGCGTCAGGAACAAGGCTGTTTCTCATAAACATTGTCTTCGTAAGATTCAGCTGTAGTCCTACCTTTCCACACTCACGGTCAAAGTCGGCCAGCATTTGTGCCGCTTGGCTGATGTTTGGTGTTATTAAAACAATGTCATCAGCAAAGCGGAGGTGGTGTAGTTGCCGACCATCTATCTTCACTCCCATTCCTTCCCATTCCAGTCGTCACATGATGTTCTCGAGGGTGGCACTGAAGTGTTTTGGTGAAATGGTATCACCCTGCCGCACCCCTCTCTTGACATCAACGATCACTTCTTTGTAGAATGGTGATATCCTGGTAGTGAATCCGCAATACAGCTCACGGAGGATCCTGATGTATTGGACTTGAATGCCCTGATTGGCTAGGGCTTCAATGACCGCTTCCGTCTCAACAGAATCAAAGGCCTTCTTTAAATCAATGAACGTTAAGCAGAGCGGCATCTTGAACTCCCGAGAAACCTCAAAGAGCTTGGTTATCGTGTGGATATGGTCGATGGTGCTGAATCCTTTGCGGAACCCTGCTTGCTCACATGGTTGTCCTTCATCTAGTGTTCTGCCAATCCTATTCAGGATGACTCGAGTGAACAACTTGTAGATGACAGACAATAGGCAGATCGGGCGATAGTTGCCAATGTCATGGATGTCTCCCTTCTTGAACAGTAGTACGGTCCTGCTGGTTTTCCATTGAGATGGAACCTTGCATTCAGACAGGTAGCGAGTGAAGAGCCGAGCCAGTGTATTGATGAGTACTGACGGCAGGTTCTTCAAGTGTTCAGGTCTGACCTTGTCTGGGCCGGGTGCTGTTTGCTTCTTTACTGACGAAATGTCGTGTCGGATTTCGGAAGGGAGAACGTTGGGAACAACATACCCATCCTGTGGAATTTGGTATGTCGGCAAGTGGACATGGCTATCGAAGAGATTTGAGTAGAAGTCATGGATAATCTTCTCCATTGCCGTTCTGGAGGATGTGATGGATCCATCAGGACGTCGGAGGGCAGTCATCTTAGTCTTATAGTTGGCAAAGGACAGGCGGGCGTTACGAATACTTTTCCCGGCTTCTGCCGCATCTACCAGTACTTCTGCTCTTCTCTCTTTGAGGTCTTCCTTGATCGCATCTCTGCACTGCTTTGCAAGCTCGGACGTTAGCTTGCGGTTGCCTGAGGCATGCGCCAAACCACGCTGGCGAATTAGCTCAAGAGTTTTCGAAGATAGGCGACTTTTTGTGGCTATCTCTCTCTTGGCGTTCCTCGCACATTCATGGAGGTGCTGAACCAGTCGATCGTATTCCTCGTCAATGTTGTCAACAATGGCATCTTCCCATGTTGCCGCAATAGTACCAAAGAGTTCCCAGTTGGTGGTCGTTCTGGGAGTTCTCTTTTTGAACTTTGCAGCCCTTTCTCCCCGCTCTGTGAAGTAGAATTTTGCACGAAGGAGACGGTGGTCCGATCCCGTTCGAAATTTTGGGACAACAGCGACATCAGTCAGGCAAAACCGTCGATTGAATATGATGTGGTCTATTTCGTTGTGGAATCGTCCACCAGGAGACTCCCATGTCCATCGTTTAGATTCTGCCTCCTGGAACTGTGAGTTACCATGAATGGTCTTGGTCGACATGATGAACTCAGACAGTCTCTCACCCTGTTCGTTCCATTCTAGGCCATGGGTTCCGATGTGAAGTTCTTCAGCTGATCTTCTCGGTCCTATCTTGGCATTAAAATCACCCACAATGATCTTGTAGAAGGTGTGGTCTTCTTTATAGAACTTCTCTAGCTCCATGTAGAAAACACCCTTTAACAACTTTTTCATTACAAATGGTTCAGACTACTCCCATGAGTAATGAGTAATTCCTCAGGAAGTTCTAGTGGCTATATAAAATAGAAGAAACTACAGCTAAAGTGCACAAAGATTTCTTTAGAACTTAATTTGTTCTGAGGGTCACATTTCCAGAGCTTTTGGTTCAATGGGTCTGAGTGAACTTTAAATTAACCTTTGCTTGTTATTTGCCTGAGACACTTATATTACTATTTCAAAGACTACAGTGAGTACTACCGAACTATCTATCAACCGTTGAGGACAGAATTCCATCCACAATTATCCCCTCCCGTTGATCGTCGATTTGCTCGAGCGGGCCCAGTAACGTCTCCATTGGAGACTTTGTTGTTACTGTGTCTGGCATATCGAATACTCTCGGTAGCTTGCCAGGCTCTCCAAGAGGGGCGGAGGAATCGAACTCGGGTCGGCCATGTTGGCCGTGTGTAAGGCAGACGCCCTACCCGCTGTGCTATCGCTACAGCCCATCCACAATTATATCAAGGTATAAATCTGGATCTGGTAAAAAAGGAGTCTTTAAATAGTATATTATGATAATATCAAATGAGTGTAATAAATTAATTAAAATTATCACTGAATTACCTCGGCATGCTGGTCCTCCTATCCATTTGCTGTTAACACATTGTGCAAAATTGGGTCCATCTAGTTGGTAATTATATGAACATTTAAAAGTCACCTTTACTCCTGACTTATAGGAGCTTTTCTTTGGACCTATGAGCATGGCATTAGGGAATTTGGGTAAGCTTGAGCAATCTGTTTCTGGAAAAAAAAAAACAAAATGAAAACAAAGAATACATACTTATTTAGGAAATCTGTCAAGAAAATACCCATAATATCCTTTAGTTAAATTCTAGAATAATAGGAACATATCAAAATATGTATGTCTAATATAATTTTTTTTATAATTTGAAAAATACCAACATACTGACTTAACTGCATCAAATGACTGGTTACATATTTATCCAAAGTAGAATATGGATATGATGATATTGAAAACCTAAATATGTATGAAAACATGTGTTGCTTGAGGTCATACTTCTTATATTCAAATTATTTTCTGCCCACATAGATCAGCAACAGTGTGTGTGTATGTGTGTATGTGTGTATTGTCTGTGAAAATGTGCTAGTTTTAATGTTAAATATCTTGTAAAATATTTCTTGATAAATAAATCATAGGAAGCTGGAAATTAAATCATAGAAAGTTGCATACTAATGAAATTGATGAGCTACTTAAGAAATAGGAAACACGGAGTGTCAAATGTATATTAGAAGTACAAATATATTAGAGAGAGAAATAGAGAGAGTGATAAAGAAAGAAAGAAAGAAAGAAAGAATGAATGAAAGTGAGAGTGAGAGAGAAAATTGCTTGCCATAGATGCCATGGGGGTGGAGGAATGGGAGAAGAAAACTGGGGACATTGGTGGTGGGAAATGTACACTGATAGAGGGATGAGTGTTGGACCAGTGTATGACTGAAAACCAATTGTGAACAACTTTGTAACTATGTACCTCACTGTAAGATGAAGTGCATGTTTGAGAGGGAGTTTATTGAAACGGTAGCCAAGGTGATGGGAAAATGTTATTATTTAGCTCATGTTGTCAATTTTTATTACTGGGGAAACTACTTCTACCAATTTCAAGAACTTCCCAGAGATAGCTTTATAAATTTTGGAATTACTACTTAGATAAATATTCATAGTATCTATATTCTGAATTAGAGATATTTGTCAGCCTTAGAAGAATATAATACACTGTACTTATGCATTCTGGTGGACTGGCCCATTTTTCGCCTAAACATTTTGCTGTTGCAGGTCCATCAATTCCATAACCTTCAGAACAGCTGTATGTAAATTCTTCTCCGTATTGGTAACCATCTCCCTTGTGGAATGGAAGTACACCATGGGAAATATGAGGTGGAGGTCCACAAGGAAGTCCTAAAAAACATAAAAGAATGACTCTATGTTTCACTAACTTTGAAATTTGATTTTATTAACTGCTTAGGAAATTTAATATGTAGTGTTAACATAACAATTTTATTTTATTTTTATTTAATTAATTTTTGGTTTGGGGACCATAAGTGCTCCCCAAAAGAGAGCTCAGGCTTTCTTTAGGCTCTGCACTCAGGCATCACTCCCAGTGAACTGGGGGCACTAGATGTGGTACTGAGGATTGAACCTGGCTGGGCAGTCTGCAAAGCAAATGCCTTACCCTCTGTGATATTGCTCCTTCGTAGAATTTTATTTGACACTAAATCAAAACTCAGAAGCTAAGATGACATCACAGAGAAGATTTGCAAATAGGTCCTAAAATCAGTCTTCTAGCATGGTCCCAGCTGTTAATATGAGCAAGAATATGTAACCAAGAGTATACATAGATATATCTATATCTACATAGATATATGAGAATGTATATATAAAAATGTATATATGAGAAACCATAATTTATTTACTAATCAATAAATAACAGTAAAAGGAAATACAACATGAATTAACCATCTTAAGAAATGTACCTTTGCCCCATTGGCTCCAACACTCAAGCTCAAACACTAAATGTCTGAAGCTGAGTTCTTCTCATACAATGCACCACGGCAACAACACATCATCAGTAGGGTAAAACTAACTATCTCACGATGGTCTACCTAGCTCACATTCAATCTCTGACGACCCAGGGATCACACCCAGAAGACTCACCCTGCCAGAGCCACATAAATACCTCATGGGCCGATCTCCAATACTTCTACTACCCATCCAACGCCAAGCTCCAGGCCACTTTCCGGACCGCAAGACACATCAGAAGACACTTAATACCCATCTTCCATTATTACTGCACCATATTTGATGGGGTTCAAATATGGTTTGAACCATGGGAACACCTGCAAGGGTGATTAGAGGCCACGATAAAAGCCTCTATCCTTCTCAGAGAGCCCGGCAAGTTACCAAGAGTATCCCACCTGCAAGGCAGATCCTGGCAAGTGATCCGTGCTGTAGTCAATATGGAAAAACCAGTAAATAAAATCAGTCTCATTCCCCTGACTCGAAATACAATTTCTTTTTTAATTGAGAAGTTCTACTTGGAGCTGGAGAAGTTCTATAAAGAAGACCACACCTTCTACAAGATCATTGTCAGTGATTTTAATGCCAAGATAGAACCGAGAAGATAGGCCAAAGAACTCCACATTGGGACCCATGGCCTAGAATGGAATGAACAGGGTGAGAGAATCTCTGAGTTCTCATGTCAGTCAAGACCATCCATGGTAACTCACAGTTCCAGAAGGCTGAATCTAAACATTGGGTATGGGAGTCTCCCGATGGACAGTTCCAAAATGAAATTGACCACATCATATTCAATTGATGGTTTTGTCTGACTGATGTCGCTGTTGTCTCAAAATTCCAAATGGGATCGGACCACAGTCTCCTTCTTGCAAAATTCTATTTCACGGAGAAGGGGAAAAAGAACTGCAAAGTTTAAGAATCGAATTCTCAGAACAACCACCAACTGGGAGCTCTTTGACACTATTGAGGCAACATGGGAAGATGTGTGGTTGACAACATTGACGAAGAATATAATCAACTGTGCGAAGAACATGTAGAGAGAGTAAGCCACAAAAAGACGCCTATCTTCAGAAACTCTTGAGCTCTTTCGCCAACATGCCTTTGTGTGAGCTAACATCAGAGCTCGTAAAGCAGTGCAGAGAAGCAATAAAAGAAGACTTCAAAAAGAAAAGCAGTAGTGCTGGCCAATGCAGCAGAAGCTGGGAAAAGCATTTGCAATGCACGCCTGTCCTTCACCAACTACAAGACCAAGATGACTGTCCCCCGACACCCTTATGGATCTATCACATCTTTCAGAAGGACAATGGAAAAGATTATCCATGATTTCTACTCAAATCTCTTTGATAGCCGTGTCTACCTGTCCAAATACCAAATTCCGCAGGATGGATATGTCGTTCCCAACATTCTCCCTTCCAAAATCTGACCAGCCATCTCATTGGTAAAGAAATCGAACAGCACCTGACCCAGACAAGGTCAGAACTGAATATCTGAAGAATCTGTCGTCAGTACTCATCAATGCACTGGCTCAGCTCTTCACACGCCACCTGTCTGAATGCAAGTTTCCATCCCAGTGGAAAACCAGCAGGACTGTACAATTGTACAAGAAGGGATACATCCATGACATTGGCAACTATCTCCTGATCTGCCTGTTGTCTGTCATCTACAAGCTGTTCATTCAAGTCATCCTGAATAGGATTGGCAGAGCACTAGATGAAGCATAACTATGCAAGCAAGCTGGTCCACAATCACACCACCTCTGCTTTGTTGATGACATCGTTCTAACAACACCAAAAATTAGCCAAGCAGAACAAGTGCTGGCCAACTTTGACCATGAGTATTGGAAAGGTCGACTGCAGCTGAATCTCACGAAGACAATGTTCATGAGAAACAGACTCGTTTCCGACATTCCATTCACTCTAAATGGAACGAATTTCTCTGAATGCAGCAGTTATGTGTACCTAGGTCGAGAACTCAACATGACAAACAACCTGGCACCTGAATTGTGCAGGAGGAAGAGAGTGGCATGGAACACCTTCAAGAGCGTCGAAGAAATAGCTAAGAGGATGAAGAACCTCCAGCTCTGGGCACATCTCTTCAACTCCACCATTCTTTCTGCATTAACATATGCCTAAGAGACCTGGGCCTTACAAAAACAGGATGAGAATGCTATTCGGGTATCCCAAAGAGGAATCTAAAGAGCTATGCTTGGAGTATCACACTTCACTCAAGTGAGAGAAGAATCCAGAATTCCGACCTCCGTTGGTGATCCAGAATCAGGGATGCTGTCTCACTTGCCAAGGCATCGAAAATCAGATGGGCTGGACACATAATGTGATTTGGAGAGGACGGCTGGTCATTGGCAATTACTGACTGGATTCTACGGAACGTCAAAAGATCGCGTAGTCGCCCATCTAGTAGATGGTCAGATTTCTTTGTCAAGAATGTGAGTGAAAGTTTTGAGGCTCTTGGGTTCCTGGAGCAAGCAGATGCCATTGGGCTACACTAGCATGAGTGGAGACGTTGCTGGCACCCGCTTGAGCAAATTCATGAGTAATTGGATATTAAGTGATCAAGTGATCAAATGAAGAAATGTACCTTATATTGTAAAAAATTGGGGCAATGTAAGGACAAAAAACCTGGCTGAAAAGTAAACACCGCATTATAGTAAACACTGCATAGTTCCCATACAGCACTTATATGAATGCAGAATCACAGTATATGAATAGGTAAACTTAATTTCACTCTACACTGAATTTCAGCACAAAAATGGCCGAATTATAAGTGATATCTATAATGAGCCTATATTATTTCCAATAGTAGATTGATTTGATCATACCAAAAATTGTTTGCTAGAGTGCATAAATCATGTCTAACATACCAAAAACTATTAATTTATAAATCTGAATAGTTCTCCCAGTTGAAGGTAACTGGTTCTTTTTACAAATTTTACTGAAAAAATATTGTAATTCTTGTACTATGCTCACCTACACACTGAGGTGGAGAACTCCATAGTCCCATGAAGCACGTTATCTTGTTGTCTTCTTCATATATCCTAAAGCCAGCTTGAGAAGTGTAATTCAGTATGGTGCCATGTGGATAAACTTTAGGCCCTAGTGAAGATCTAGCTGATGCAATGTTTCCATGTTCAATCTGAGGTGGCTCAGAATATGAACGTTTTTCTAGAGGAAAACAGAGATTTAAAAAATGTTTTGTATTAAATTTATTATCAATTAAAATGTTAAATGAAAAAAATCAAACCAACACTGGCATTTAATCTGAGGAAAATGAGAATAAATTAAATTGTAAGGGAAAAAATGAAGCTTGCATGGTTAGATATCTTTAGTCGATCTCACATATATATGTTCAATATATACCTAAATTGGATGCGTTACCTAAATTGAATGTTTGAAGGACAAAGGGCAGTTCCCGTGAGCCTTCTGCAGTTCCCCATCCTTCCCCGGTCTATGTCAGGAACTGGCCCAGAAAAGGCCTCCTGTACCTGGACTGGATGGGTGGAGGTCAAAGGGTATTTCCCGCGGGCCTTCTGCATTCCCATTCCCCATCCTTCCCACCTCTATGTTAGGAACTGTCCCTGTTCAGGCCTTCTCAGTCCCTTGGCCTGGAAAGGCCCCCTGTGCCCAGTGATACCTGGATCGAATCCACGGAGGAGAGAGGGCCGTACTGACCGGCCTACTCTGTTCCTGTTTCCTGTCTCTCGCATCTCTATGTTAGGAACAGACCCTGAACCAGTTGTCTCAGTGTCACGGCCCTGGAAAGGCCCTCTGTGCCCAGCGATACCTGGATTGGATGGGCGGAGGAAAAAGGGCAGTTCCCATGGGCCTTCTGCGTTCCTGTTCCCCATCCTTTCCAGGTCTATGTTAGGAAGTGACCCTGTTCAGGCCTTCTGAGTCCCTCGGCCATGGGCAGACCCCTGTGCTCAGCCATACCTGGATCGGATGGGCAGAGGACAAAGGGTGGTTCCAGCAGGCCTTCTGCATTCCTGTTTCCCATCCTGCCCAGCTCTATGTTAGGAACTGGTCCTGCTCCGGCCTTCTCAGCCCTGGCCCTGGAAAGACCCCCTGTGCCCAGTGATACTTGGATGGAATCCACGGAGGAGAGAGGGTCGTTCTGGCCGACCTTCTGTGTTCCTGTTTTCCATCTCTCGCAGCTCTATGTTAGGAATGGGCCCTGCATCAATCGTTTCAGTCTCTGGGCCCTGGAAAGGCCCTCTGTGCCCTGTGATACCTGAATTGGATGGGCAGAGGACAAAGGGTGGTTCCGGCGGTCCTTCAGTGTTCCCTGTTCCCATCCTGCCCAGCTCTATATTAGGAACTTGCCCTGCTCTATGCTAGAAACTGCTCAGGCCTTCTCAGTCTCTCGGCCACGGAAAGGCCACCAGTGCCCAGCAATACCTGGATCAAATTAACTGAGGAGAAAGTGCAATTTTCGCGGTCTTCTGCATTCCCGTTTCCTGTCTCTTGCATGTCTATGCTAGGAACTGGCCCTGCATCAATTTTCTCAACCTTGGGGCCCTGGAAAGGTCCCCTATGCCCAGTGATGCCTGGATTGGATAGGCGAGGACAAAGGGCGGTTCTCACGCACCTTCTGCGTTCCTGTTTCCCATCCCTCTCAGCTCTATGTTAGGAACCAGCACTGCAAGGGTCTTCTCAGTCCCCAGATGTTTTAGTCTTAAAATAATGAGACTAAGGACATGACACACTATTTAAAAATCGCTGTAGAATTGGTCAACTTTAATTTTTCTATTTTTTAAAAATTGATGAAAGAGAATTAGTTTTGGGCAAAAGAAAAGAATTTGATGCCTAAAGAACTCTTAAATTATTGCTAAAGGAAGTCCTTAAACAAAAGACTGTAACAGAAGAGAGAATCAGTGATCTCAATAGGTCAAAGAATGTTACATCTGAGGAAGATAAAATAATGAAGTAATAGCACCGGAGCCACCGGAGGGAGTCGGGCGCGGGGCAAGAGGCGCGAAGCCCGCGCGGGAACAAAGCGGGCAGGCCTGGCTTTGTATCGGCATGCGGGGCACTGCGGGCGGCTGGGATGCCCAGCGGCCACTGCACTCGCGCCAGCGCAGCGCCCTGAGCAGTGGTGGCAGAGTGCGGCCACTGGCTCGTGGACTGCCGCGTCCTGTCGCGCGACCACCTTGTGCTCTTGGCCCTTGGCCACAGTCTTTAACCGGCGCAGGCACTGCTCTGACCCGGCTCCGTGGACCCCAAGGACAGCAACTTCTGGCCGCAGATGTCGCAAGTTCTGTGTCGGAAGAAACATCTGCACCTTCCTCCGGGTGGTCCATAAGTGTTTGGACTCCACAGCTCTGACCTCCTCGACCCCTTTGACCTCTTGCATGTGCGGGACTTCGGGAAGGCCTTTTCCCTCGGAGGACACGGTGGAGAATGAAGGTGACGTCTGCCGCAACCTGGAGGAGTTCGCCGGAGTTCGCCAACGAACATGACCTGGGCGAGGACATCTACGGCTGCGTCCTGTGGAGGATGACGGCAACGACGTGGAAGAGGATGTCATCAGGATGGAGGCGCAGCCGCCCATGAAAATGGGCATGAGCCGGGATGACAAGCGCAGCCGCTGCCTGCTGGAGATCCAGAAGAACGAGGCCAAGTACAGCGACACACTGGAGGGCGTGGAGAAGAGCTATGTGGGCCCCCTCATGCCGTTGCTGAGTCCCGCGGACATGGCCACTATCTTCATCAACCTGGAGGACCTGATGAAGGTGCACCAGAGCTTCCTGAGGGCCATCAATGTGACCATGCTGGCGGGCGGTGGCTCCCCGGCCATCGTCTTCCTGGATTTCAAGGAGCGGCTCCGAATCTACTGGGACTACTGCAGCCGCATGGAGCATGCCCAGAACATGCTCAACCAGCTGCTGGCCACCCGCAACGACGTGAGGCAGAAGGTCGAGGAATGCACGCTGTAGGTCTAGGACGTGAAGTTCAAGCTCCAGGTGGTGCCCATGCAGAGGATGCTCAAGTACCACCTGCTGTTCAAGGAACTCCTGAGTTACTCCACGGATCGGCTGGACAGGCAGCAGCTCAAGGAAGTTTTGGAAGCTATGCAGGACCTCGCCATGTACATAAACGAGGTGAAGAGGGACAAGGAGACTCTGAAGAAAGTGGCCAAGTTCCAGAGCTGCATCGAGAACCTGCTGGTGAAGCTGGAGGAGTTTGGGCGACCCAGATGGGGAGCTGAAGGTGCGCTCCATGGTCAACCACACCAAACAGGACGGGTGCTTGTTCCTGTTTGACAAGGTGGTGATCGTGTGCAAGTGGCAGGGCTACAGCTATGAGCTGAAGGAGATCATTGAACTGCTGGCCCACAAGGTGTTGGAAGACCCCATGAACAACAAGGACATCAAGAAATGGTCCTACGGCTTCTACCTCATCCACCTGCAAGGCAAGCATGGCTTCCAGCTCTTCTGCAAGACCAAGGACATGAAGTGCAAGTGGATGGAGCAGTTTCACGTGGTTATGTCCAATGTGAAGCCCGACAAAGCCGGTGCCAACGAGCACGCCTTCCAGATGTTCACATTCACCAGGACCACCAGGTGCCGCACCTGCTGCATGCTGCTCAGGGGCACTTTTTACCAGGGATAACTGTGCACCTGGTGCAGTGTCAGCGCACACAAGGAGTGTCTGGCAGTGACACTGCACTGAAAGACGGGTTCCCCTGCAAATGTGGACACCCCCAGAGCGGGACCAGGTCCCAAGATGGTGACTGTGCAGAGTTACCATGGCAGCCCCGTGCCCCCCTGCCCCCCGGAAGCCGGTGCTCACCTTCCAGATGGGCGACATCATCGGGCTGCTCAAGGGCGACCCCGAGTTCCCGTGGTGGGAGGGCCAGCTGGTGCTGACCCGAGAGTCTGACTGCTTCCCCAGCACATCTGTGAAGCCGTGCCCCGCAGACCGGCGGCTGCCTGTTTCCCGACCACCCTCCTGCGAGCTTGACTACACCATGTATCCCTGGTTCGTGGGCAGCATGGGGAGTGGAGAGGCAGAAGACGGACACCCTGCTGAAGCCCCATGCCAGCGGCACCTACCTCATCTGGGAGTGTCCGGCTGAGCCCGAGCACTTTGCCATCAGCATCAAGTTCAATGACGAGGTGAAGCACATCAAGGTGGTGTAGAAGGACGACTGGATCCACATCACTGAGGTCAAGAAGTTCGAGAGCCTCCTTGGAGCTAGTGGAGTACTACCAGTGCCACTCGCTCAAGGAGAGCTTCAAGCAGCTGGACACGACCTTCAAGCACCCCTACAAGTCCCGGGAGCACTTGACCACTAGGGCCTCCAGCTGGTCCCCAGTCTTCGCAGGGCCATGTCCAGGTACAGCTTCACTGCCCGGGACATGCGGGAACTCTAGCTGCGGGAGGGGGATGTGGTGAAGATCTACAACCGCGTCAGCGGGGACCAGGGCTGGTGGAAGGGCGAGACCCACGGCCGGATCGGCTGGTTCCCTTCGACATACGTGGAGGAGTAGGGCGTCCAGTGATGCGGGAGCCTGGACGGGACATTCTTGGGAAGCTGCAGCTCTGGTCTCGCTTTGGCTCCAGGACTCCGGGGGCCATGCCCGCCCGCCGGGATCTGTCTCCCCTAGGCTGCAGGCTGGGGTGGGCTTCCACAGAGGAGTGATGGGCTGGCCCTGTGGGACTGTTGTCACTGGAGCCCTGAGCCGGGAAGCTTGGGGGTCTTGCCTGCCCCTCGGAGCCTTACTTCTTGCTGCTCCAGGGTGCCCGAGCCCGCCTGTTGGATGTGCTCGGCTTCTCATGACTCTGGCAGCCAGCGTGTATAGAGACCCCCGGGGCGCGCACCCTGCCATGATACTGTTCTTTGTCCTGAGTTCCAGGATGTCCCTGTGCCTGTCCTTGTCCTGTTGCCAGAGGCGTAATGGGAGAGTCCGCCTGGGCCCTCTGCGCACCACTCAGGCAGCCCTGTCCCCATGCTGTGAGCTGCCTGGGCTCGCCCCACACAAGTGCTCTTGGGGGCGCCTCTTTCCGCATGCTCCCCACGGACTCCTCCTGGGCCCGGGCTCAGTCAGTTTCTATTTACTCTGCATGTGTCACAGGATCTGGTGACACTGGCCTAGCTTCCGTCCATTCTGGTGGTACCCGGGTAGGGAGCAGCCTCATCCTGCTGCCGGCAAGTGCTGGTCCACGGGCTCTGGGCTTGGCCCCACCCAGGGTGGGAGGAGGCGCCAGTCTGATGTGGTGTGTGAATGCCATCTTTGCGGGTGCGGCCCACGCACAGCCCCGACCAGGCTCTTCATGCCGCTGTGTCTGCAGAGCTGTTTTGTGGTTTTGTCGTTGGGGCTTCGTTTGATCATGTTTGTTTGGGGGGTGGCTTGTTTATTTTGTAAGGTCGGGAACTTCGTTATGATTTCCTCCAAAGCTCCTATTCTGTCTGTGGGTATGAAGGAAGAGATATCCAAGAGCAGCTGGGTGTCTGCGCCTGTCACCCATTTCCTGGCCTGGGGCACACTGCCACCCGCGCCTGCTGTCTGGAAGCCTGTGTCGGGGAGGGAGGGGGTCGGTGGGCTCTGCACCATAGGGGGCAGGAGGGAGGTGGAGGGGTGGCCCTGGGCCGGACATTAGCTGTGAACACATAGGAGCCTCATGCATGCGGGTTGATGCCTGGGAATCCCACCAGTGGTGGGAATCTTGAAGAGCAGAACTGTACATTTGCCAGTGGGTCTTTTAAGACCACCACCAATAGACCTGCATTCTTTGCCATGGGCGTGGCCGCTGCCTTCGGGGAGGGGGAGGGATAAAGAAGTTAAAAGGCAACATATTGAGAGAAATGAATTTTTCAAGTGATTGTTTAAATCTTCCTAATTGATAAAAAACTTTCTATATTCAAGGATCTCAGCAAACTCCAAGTAGATTGAACTTAGACATAGAGATACATAATGAATTTCATCCTAATAAAGTGTCACTCCCAACGACAAAGAGGCAATGGTGAAGTACGTGGAAAAAACTCATTAATCATAAGTGGTCCTAATTAAGATTGTAACTCATTTGGGAAGAAAAGAAGAAATGGAGATGGGGAAATGAGTAGATATAAATAGGAATTTTCATTCCGCAAAAGCTGAATACACATCTCAGTGCACACGGGGCGTTCTCCAAGATATACCACACTGGGCCAGAAAACATAACTGCACAAAATTAAGAGGATAGAAATGATTTCGACTATCTTTTTGGACCATGAGTCACTGAAAATAGAATTGAATCAGACTCAGAAACTGAGAATCAAACAAAGCATACAAATGAAACAAATTACTAGTGAACAACCAGTGACTTAGAGAGAAAGTCAAGTGGAAATCCAAAGATTCTTGGAAACAAAGGAGAATAAACACACAAATGACCAGAACTTGTGGGACAGAACAAAGGCAGTGTTAAGAGGAAAGTTTAGGCTCTACTAGCATTCATCAGGAAGGAAGAAAGAGCCCATCTAAGTAATTTAACCAAACAACTTAAGATCTTGGAAACTGACCAACAAAAGGAGCTCAAACTTGGTAGGAAGAAGGAAATAAAGCTTGGAACAGTTATTAACTAGAAGGAAGCCCAAAACACAATGACAGATCAATGACACCAAGAGTTCTTTGAGAAAATAAACAAGATTGATAAACCACTACAAGACTCACAAATAAAGAGAAAGAGATTTCTTATGTCTACTGAGGTATTGTTAATAGTTTATAATTAAAAAGATGAAAATAACAACAAAATTTATAATGTACATATTTTCTAGCAACTGCTTTATAAATAGAAAGAAATGATGGATTGCAGAGGTCAGATTCTACTTACAGTACGGAATGCATATAGGCTCAGTGGACCAGCCACTTTCTGTACATGTAATACTCCTCTGATTATTTGGGAGATTGTAGCCTATATCACAGGTAATTTTCACAGTTTCGCCTTCCAAATGTGTTACTTGTGAATAATCAGAGTGGCCATGTTCCACAGAAGGCAAAACACAGTGTCCTAAAAACCCAAATGAAGAATATTACATAACTTGAAATAAAAAACACATCACAGTGTGCCAACATTAAGATAAAGTTTACAAAGCACATAATAAATTAAATTAAATTATGTTTTCAAACTTAATATATAAATTCAGAACGACATGCCATAGAGATGGCTCCTGATCCCTTGCCAGGCAGTTTTATTCGGGCAACCCAGAGGAGGAGTGGGTGAGGTTCACTCCCCCACCATGAAGCCAGCCCAGCAGCTCAAAACTTCCAGAACTTAATCACTGCCAGAATAAAGCTTTTCCTGGACCTGGCAGCTGTGAATGCGCAGCATCTCATACATTACACCAATGATATACCAAGAGTAGCATGCCACATTTGATGAGGTTTAAAGCAGAAGGCAACCAATCTTAAGGGGATAATATATTTATACACAAACATACACACAAGTATATATATGTGTGTATATGCTTATATGTATATAGACATATAAGCACACAAGACTAAACCTTTAGCAACATGTGACTAATCTCTTTGGAAGGACTTATTGGATCCTGGGTGAAATACGGCAATCTTCAATCTTCACACACTTTCCTTTAAGAAAAATTTTTTGATCATTTTCAGCCAACTAGTCATAACAAACAATACAAAACAAACTTATATGTAATTTAATTAATCCTCATTTGCATTTATGAACCATTTTCATTCCTCAACTTTTTTATACATTAAAAATTTTCTGTTTTATCTCAATGATCTAAATACTTTCAAGAGTAGGCGATAACTTTAATCTCCTTTTACTTCCTCATTTAATTTGTCTCCTCATTTAATTTATCTCCTTTTTTCTTCCTCTGCATTTAGTGATAGGGATAAAGTGCTCTCAGATAACTCCTGCTTAATCTCCTTTACCAAAGATAGTCCCTTGAGCATCATCAGGAATGATGGCGGAGCACAGATATTTGTGGCCCAGATCCCCCAAACCAAGCAGTATAAGATGATAAATGTACTATTAAAATCATCTAAATATAAAGGTAAAAATAAAAGATCAGCTTATTAAAAATAAAAATATGGAAAATATTAGAGCAAATAATAAAGCTCCTTCAGCTAACTAAGAAGAAAAAAATCTTTTGAGGACTGCATATGTAGTTCAAAGGGATGTAGCACATAGAGTGCCGCATACATGGATGTACATGGGCAAAGGCTGTGGAGTCATGGCATAAAATTACCCCAAAGTATAGCTGAGAGTGTTCCTGTGGCCTCTGAGAAGAGAGAAGTCAATGAAGAATCACTTATGAAGAAATTCTCAGCATCACTTTTCATCAGAGAAAGCCAAATCAAGATGGCAATGAGATACCATTCTAGACCAGTGAGAATAGCACATATCAAAAACACTGGGAACAATCTGTGTTGTTGGAGATGTGATGAAAAAGAAACTTGATCCACTGCTGGTGGGAATGTTGCCTGGTACAATCCTTGTGGAAAACAGTATGGAGAGATCTCAGTAAACTTAGAATTGACCTGCCTTAGGACCCAGCAAAACCACTCTTAGGCATCTACTCCCAGGACACAGAAACACTCTCTCAAGAGGACATATGCACACCGTTATTCATTGCTGCAATCAGTACAGTAGCTAAAATATGGAATTAATCTAGGGGTCCAATAACATCAAAAGGATTATGAAAATGTAGTATATAAACATTTGGAATACCAACCAGCTGTAAGGAATGATTAAATCATGCAATTTTCTGCAAATTGATTGGAACTGGAAGATTTCATGTTGGAAGAAGTAAGCCAAAGGAAAGACAAATACAGAATGTTTTCTGGTTGATGACATGTATTATAGTAAAAGGGAGGTGCCTAAATCACCTGAGGCCCCAGTGTTTAGAGACAAAGACAGAAATCAAGAATGGAAGAAGAGAAAGCAAATTATCGGGTGAAGAGGCATCAGGGCTTGAGTCATACCGATGATATGGGTGAGTGTTATAGTCATCCATAGATCCCAAACACAGACTCAGCAACACTGAAAGCAGGACATCTAAGTAGCAATCACTGAAACTGTGTAACGTGCCTGTGACACTTTTGACAGGTGAGGATGAGGTGGTGATTGGGGTGGGTCAGGAATATAGGAACACTGGTAGAGGGAGGTTGACACTGGTGGTGGGAGTGGTATTGGAAATTATTATATGCCTAAAACTCAACTTTGTATATCACAGGTATTTAATAAAAAATATCAAAAAAGAAAAACAAAGAAAAACCACGTGTTAGGTAAAATTTTAATACAATTTTCAAAAAAGTCTGTCTAAGTTTTTGGCACTTGAAATTATTCTCATTAGCATTTCAAATGAAATAATTCATTAATTTTTTTGCAAAAATTTAAGAAAAGTAGGGGAGAGTGAAAGATAAAGAGAGAAAGAGAGAGAATGAGAAAGAGAGAGATGTTCAAAAGAGAACACTGGCTTCTCCAGATTGGAAAAAAACGAAATTAAAGAACTTATAGTCTATAGCATCTGTAAGTTACTGGTTTCTTTTACTTATTTCATGCTACAAGAACTTATATAAAAGGAAATATCTTTGTGAGCTCCTCAAGCCCTTCTCCTATATTTCTGTAAACTCTGTCACCCCATAAAGCATTGCTCTCTGCTCACAGAACATCCCTGGTTCCGTCGGACAATGAGGAGCGGGTTACTCACTGAGGCACTGTGGAGCTGGGGACTATCCTTCTGCTGTACACTCGATTCATGTCCAGACTGACTGTTCTGGAGATGCAAAGCTCTGTTCACAGGAGTAGTAGACATTTTTTCCAATAGCAACTGGGAACTGTTGCTCATGTCTGTTTTCATTATGTATGCTTCCATGTTTTATTTTGGGAAAGTCACAAGTTCCTCCTAGAGGAATAAATAGCATTTTATGGCAACAGATGATTCTATTTAATATTAATATTTATTTAATGAACTTACTATTTATGTAGCTTCATTATTCTACTGCACTAGGATCTGAAAACTGGAATAATCCGGATCTCTTCTTGCTTGTCTTGTATGCAGTTGATCTAGGTTGGTTGGTTGGAATACCTTATTTTCTTGCTAGCCTCACCAGGAGTGACTCCTGAGCACCTAAGCCAGGAACAAGGTCTAATCACAGTTATGGGAACCCATCCCACCAAAGCAAAAGGACCTCATGATGTTTCAGTTCTTTCGAAGCCAGTCTATATGACTATATGCATATGACTATATATGCTTAGAAGATGGAAAAACAATTTATTATTATTACTGTCCACACTGTAAAAAGTCAAAGTATTTTTAAGTCACTTATTGGAGTCCCACTTATCCCCTAACCAATTCAATTATATAGATCACTTCTCCCATTCTGTTAACTTTGGACCTTTGCTACCACCTCACTATGTGTCTTGAAATCAGTTTTATCTTAATTACCACCTTGAATTACCACCTTAATTACCACCTAATTCTGTACCCACACATGTTGTAAATCCCTAGGAGTAAGAATATCCAAATAGTATTGGGTGGGGAAATCATGGTTTCCTACTCAGAACTCAGGACCTGAGGTCATGCTTGGCATCATCTGTCCCACGTAAGTAGGCCAAGTGGTTCAATGCTTGGCCTAGTAGGACTGGCTGGTGAAAGGGGCCACCAGAACTATATAGACATTCCTTAGGAAGCCTTAGGAAGCCATGTGGTGGCTGGGACTGAATCCATGGCATGTGGTCCAGTCCCTTGAGCTAGACCTTACTTTATGTTTGCCAGTGACATTTAAACTATAATTTATTGTTATTTATTGGAACCTTTCATTTTACTTGGCAACATTTTTGATGTTTTATTTTTACATTTTATTTTAAAAAATTGTATTGAATCACTAGAAAATGGACAATTGCAAAGCTATTTATGATTGGGTTTCAGTCTGCCAACACCCATTTCTCCACCAGTGTACATTTCCTAGCATCAATATCCAACATCTCCAGTATCCCTTTCACCCTCTTCCTCAAACTTCTCCCCTAACCACCAATTAGCCTGACATACTAATGTACCATTTTAGGCTTTGGTACAGTAGTATGACAATCTCTCTATCTCTCTCTCTCTCTCTCTCTCTCTTTCTCTCTCCTCTCTCTCTCCTCTCTCTGTCTCTTTCTCCCCATCTCTTTTTGTTAAGCTATAATTAAAAAACATATAAACTTTATATTTGTTGACTTCATGAGTTTGACTTATGAATCTGAACTAATATTTGTGTATAAAAGTTTATAAAAATATATCACTCCCAAAGGTTAAGCATTAATTAAATACCAACTGTTGGTGCCCAAATAGAACAGATAGGATGAGTCCTTGGGGACTGACCTACAAGCAGGCAGGAACACAGGCCCCATGAAAATGGTCGAGTCATGATTCCTGTGTCCAGACTGGTTTGGAAAGTGTTAACATCACTTCCTTCAGCTGCCTTTTAGATCTTAGTATTACACAGAAGCAATCTTCCCTTTCTCACAGATCCCTAACCCAGTTCAGCTTGGGGATGCAGACATTCTCTCACATCCTCTTATCATTCCAGGTGCACGGGGCTGTAGTTCATGGTGCCAGACTTCTTGGCCTTGCATTCCTCTCTGGAGATTGCGACCACTGGACTTACACACATGACAGAACAAGTAAGCTTTGATGTCCTTATGACCCTCCTGTAACCCCTTCCCTCCCCACCCGCCGCCAATGATTTCTTTGTACTGAGTGCACTAGATGTGAGTGCATAGGATAGTGAATTAAAGAGGCCATATTCGTCCTCTCGGAAGCTGGGAGAAAAGCAGCCCTGAGCATCTGCCTTTTCCTCTTTGCCCCCCAAGCTGCGCTGATCTTCTCCCAAACCCAGGTCAGTTCATCCGCTGGTACTCAAACCCGGGACTTGGTTTTCTCCCTGCAAGCCCCCCAGGTGTCCTCTCAGACAAGCTGTGCTATTCTTCTCCCCTACTTCTCAGACAAGCTGTGCTGGTCTTCTCCCCTACCCAGTCATTACTCCCCCCACACACACCAGGTACCTGTGGGGTTGTCGCCTCTTCAGAAGTAGGCGTGGCTTCTGTAGAAGTGGGTGTGACCTATTTTTCATCAGACTGCTGCTCATGCGGCTGCAGGTAGTTTAGTCGTACCAAGCAACCTAGTCCCCAAACCTGCACACCAACATGAAGAAACAACGCAAATCCCCACCACATGGGGAGGACAACAAAAAGAATCCAGAAGTCTCTGTCGATACTGCTCACCTAAGGGACCACTTTGACAAAAAATTCAGATATGAAGTCATGAAGATGTTCAATCAACTCAATGAAAGAGTCAGACATATATCCAGTAGCATGATAGAAAATATCAATAAATTATGGGAAGAAATGAGAGCAGAAATGTCACGAATAAAAGATTCCATAGATGAAGTGAAAAACTCAGTCTCTGCCCTCAACAGTAGAATGACCTCAGGTGAAGAAATAATCAGTGAGCTGGAAGACCAGATGCACCAAGCCAATAGGAAACAACAAACAGTGGCAAGGGACCTCAAAATAGCTCTACATAGAATCAGAGTTCTAGGACATGATTCCGAGAGTAACAACATTAGAATCCTGGGAGTACCAGAAGCTCAGGGAAACAATTCCAATGAAAGAAACACGGTTAAACAAATCATTGCTGAAAAATTCCCAGAGCTCGACAATGCAGCCATTCAGGTTCAAGGAGCCCGAAGGGTGCAAGCTAAAAGAGACCCTAACAAAAACACTCCCAGACATATCATAGTTAGAATGCTGATAGAGATACAATACTGCAAGTAACAAGGTCAAAGAAGGAAATCACATACAAAGGAGCACCCCTTAGAGTCACAGCAGACCTATCGAGGAAACCCTCCAAGCCCAAAGGCAATGGCGAGATCATGGTCACGGTCCTCCCTTGTTCATCGATTTTCTCAAGCGGGCCCAGTAACGTCTCCGTCATGAGACTTGCTGTTACTGTCTTTGGCATATTGAATACGTCACGAGTAGCTTGCCAGGCTCTGCCGTGCAGGCGAGATACTCTCGGTAGCTTGCCGGGCTCTCTGAGAGGGGCAGAGGAATCGAACTCGGGTCGGCTATGTTGGCGGCTTGTAAGGCAAACGCCCTACTGCTGTGCTATCGCTCCAGTCCAATGGCGGGATATAGTGAAAAAAACTCACTGAAATGAATGCTTCATCAAGAATACTCTATCCAGCTAAACTCAAAATCTAAGGAATGGTACACTATTTTCTAGATAAACAGCAGATCAGGAACTTCATAGACTCAGAACCAAACCTAAAACAAGGGCTAAAGGGGCTACTAAAAGACAAGACAAACCCTACAAGCACAACACACCCTTACAGAAAGATGACACAAAACCCCGTAACAATAATCTCTCTCAACGTCAACAGTCTAAACTCACCAAATAAGAGACACACAGTGGCAAAATAGATTCAGAGACAGAACCCAACACTCTGCTGCCTACAAGAAACTCATCTCAACAGTCAGAACAAATACAGACTCAAAGAAAAGAATCCTGCAAGCAAACAGCTCCCGCAAAAAAGCTGGGGTGGCCAAACTAGTATCCAACAACATTAACTTCAGGTTGAAAAAGATTAGAAGGGAGAGCAAAGGCTATTTTCTCTTCCTCAAGTGATACGTACAACAGGAAGAAATCACACTCTAATGAGGGAACAGCTAAATATTTAAAACAACTGCTAACAGATTTTAAGGAGGACATTGCTAGCAACACAATAGTAGCTGGAGACTTCATCATCGCCTTATCACCTCTGGAAAAATGAACAAGAACAAAACTCAGCAAGCAAATAATGGATTTGAAAGAAGAAATATAATAGAAAGGTCTTATAGACCTATACAGGGCTTTACACCCCCAAAAGAAGGAATACACATTCTTCTCCAGTTGTCACGGAACATTTTCCAAAATAGACCATGTCTTAGGCCACAAAACATACCTCAATAGAATCAAGAAGATAGAAATAGTGTCAACAACAATAGTGTCAGACCATGATGCACTGAGAATAGAAGTGAATCACACACAGACACGGAGAACCAAATCAAACACCTGGAAATTAAACAACTCAATGCTGAAGAACTAGTGGCTCAGGAAGGAAGTCAAGGGCAAAATCAAAAGATACTTGGAAACAAATCAGAATGAAGACACAAACTACCAGAACTTAAGCCGTGCAGCTAAAGCCATATTAAGAGGAAAATGTATAGCTCTGCAAGTATATCTCAGGAGGGAAGAAAGGATGTACATTAACAACTTGACTTCACAGCTCAAGATCCTAGAAAAGGATCAACAGAAGGAGCCCAAATCAGGCAGAAGGAAAGAGATCATAAAACTTAGAGCAGAAATCAACGACATGGAAACCAAAGAAACAATCCAAAAGATCAATGAAACCAAGAGCTGGTTCTTCGAGAAAACAAATAAGATAGATAAACCATTAGCAGCACTCACAAAGAAACAGATAGAGAGAACTCCAATAAATAGAATCAGAAATAAGATTGGGGATATCACAACAGAAATTAAAGAAATTCAAAAGATGATCATAGACTACTTCGAAAGTCTGTATGCCACGAAACAAGAGAACCTAGAAGAAATGGATAAATTCCTGGATTCTATCATCTCCCAAAGCTGAATCAAGAAGATATAGAGTACTTGAATAGACCTATTAACATCAAGGAAATTGAAACTGTAATCAAAAGTCTTCCCCAAAACAAAAGCCCAGGACAAGATGGATTCACTAGCGAATTTTTCCAAACATTTAAAGAGGACCTATTGCTAGTTCTTCTCAAGCTTTTCCAGGAAATTGAAAAAAACAGAAATTCTCCCAAACGGTTTCTATGAAGCTCATATCTCTCTAATACCAA